ATTTTCACAAGTCCTTTGAAAAAAATATAACATTTTAAATTTTTCAACTTAACTTGCTTAGAAAAGACTAATACTTAAAAAGAAACAATATTTGAAATACTCATAATTTATTACCTCTAATTGCTTTATTTCAATATATGAAACATTACATTTTTTAATATTTCCTTTGAACATAATGTAAGAACCACATTTATTTTCTATAATGTTTGAGACTTTTTTCTCAGAATTCCCATCTTTGTACTCTTCAGATGAAAATATAGACACTGTGGCATATTTTCAGGTTCCTTTTCCATTAAAAAGCTTTTTCCAATAAAATAACACTAGCTCAATTATTTTTTTCTTTAAATATTATTTCACATGTACCTCAGAGACAACTGAATTTTTTCTGAACTTGACATAGATTACTCCGTATTGGGTATATCTCATTAAACTTGTCAACAAATTAATGTTTTTGAAATTGGGACCATGACAGCTCTTTCCAGTTCTAAAAATTTGTGTGCCAAACAGTTAGCATACCACTAACATTTGATTGTGGGTGTGTTGAGCGAAATGGTGAGACACAGGGCCCAGTCACTCAGGACTGGGCACCCCTGCAGCCTTCCTCGCAGCCATCCACAGTGCTTTTCATCTGAGGAGCTCAAAGTACTGCAAGAGGTATGCACTCAGCCGTCCTGCTAGTAGCTCCTTAAGGCCAGTGAGTGATTCTCGTGTTCCAGGGTAACCCACCAAGACTCCAAAATGCTGGAAGTGCCTGGCTCCCGCCTCCCCACACGTCTACCTGTGCTGAGACTGAAGCCACATGCCATGCATGATCTGCAGGCAGTAATTATAGTGGCAGTTCCCAGTTGGAGGTGGTGACCCTCAAGCTGGTGTGCTCCCCTGTGTGCGTGTGCTCTGCGGCCCTTTCATTCTGGAGAGGAGAAGGGACCCGTGGCATCCCTACCACAGCCGACCCCTGCTCTGCAGCAGTGCCCTCCAGCTTCCAGTGGGGGACTGTCTTGACCTCCCTTGCAGGGGCCGTCTCAACCACTCCTTTCTCCATAAGATAAGCAGTGGCTGTGGGTGGCAGGTAAGGTGTTCCCCCTGTACAGCAGCGTCAGTACTGTTAGCTTCTTCAGCCTCCCAATGAATTTGCACAGCAGAAAGTGTTTTTAGTGTTCAAAAAAATTCCCTGGGCTCCACCACCATGGCCATGACTCACTAGGAAATTCTTGCTATAAAAGGACTTTAGTGAGCAAGGCTGAAGTGATCTTTCTCAAACTTTGAGATTCCTATGAACTCAGGTCATTTTCATGGCCTGTCGTTTAGTAGGTCTGATTTAATTCTCAGGAAAATTAAACTCCTGTCATGTGACTGACTCTAGAGGGACGGGAGTGTTGATGGCCATAGGTGGTATCACAAACACCTGTGCTTCAAGGATTTCATTCCTTACCACTGAAATGCAAAGAATCCTTTCTACCCGAGAAGAATGAAAACTGTCAAACCTTTGAGCTGGGATTCCGACTTTATTTCTTGGTGTGTTCCTATAGCCAAAGGAATCTGTCTGCCTCCCTTGTTCATACTGAGAAAAGCCAAACTTAAACACTTGGAGTTCATTTGAATTATTGGAAAGAGCAACATCTAAAACCCCTTTTTTCAAAATAGATGTTCCAGGTTCCTGGAGAGGTGTTTTGTCTTCAGTGTTTCCTCAGTAGAGATGCTGATTTGGGTTTTATAGTATTTGCTCTTCCATGTCTCTGCATGTTACCATGAGATATACTTGTACATACCCAGTAATACACAGAGTATGTGTCATTCTGGCTTGATTTAGAAGCTAGGTCAGTTACTGAGTAACATTTTGCATCTCTATTCCACCAAGTACTAAATTGCCCCCCCTCCCCACAAAAAGTTCTGTTTTTGATACCATTAAAATTTTATTCTCTATTTTGTGTACCTGGTTTGATTCTCATGTGTTGATCAGATCAGTCAGTTAGAGTAAGAAATTAAGATAAAAATGCATTAGGTGGAATCTTGCTTTTTTTCCCCTTTGTAGTCAGCCTTACTAAGGCTTTTTGTTGGTTCACGATTTTATTTTCAACAGTGGATTGCTTCTGTTAGAATCCTGATGTGACTGTCCCATGTGGTGTGTCGTTACAGGGCATCCTGAGGCCTCCAGTCCATGCTGCTTTACATGTGAGGCTAGGCCCAGGAGTCATGTCCTTTACATGCTTGTAGTGGACAGCTAGAGCAGACTGGAAGCCCCGGAGACCTGTGAGCACTCATCTGTGTTTCTGCTATTTCCTCCATGAGAGCAGAGGCTTCCCTGTCCTGAAGAGACCTAAGCCACGCCAAGCAGAGTCAGACCAACCTGGAGGGAAAGGTGACAAGTCATGGAATTTCTTTCTGATCACTTAGACTGATATTTTTGTCATGTTGGGGCATTTCATTAAACTTCATGTAGTTGTATACCAAATGTTTTTGAATAATCCTTGTTACAGAAATGCTAAAAAAAAAAAAAAAAACCCACTGTAACAAGGTAAGGAAAGCTCAGGGCAGGGCTAAAAAGAGAAGATGCCCATCATAGAGCAGAAGGAGGAACGAGAGTTGGACTGAAGTGGGTGTTGGTGGGTGACATCTGTGGTTAGCCTCATGTGTTATCTGTGATCTACTGGTCCGCATCTCTGTCCGCGTCCAGGCTGGATCTTTGTAGCTTCATTTTCACCTCAGAGCCCTGCTTCTGTGGCTTTGTGCTGTGACATCCTATTTTGGTTTTCAGGGGAGGCAGGTGGTAATTTTCAAAAGTTATATAAATTTTCAAGTTTGTTATGGATGTTACAGGTCCTCTTGTCCAACCCTGCTTGAGTTTCACCTATACGTTTAACAAGCAGTAAAAGCCATGAGGGATTGCAGCGCAAGGCAGGACTACACAGTGACCCAGAAGGAAAGTAGCAGCGTCTCGCAGGGAAAATGCCCACAGTAATGGAATCAGGCCAGGCGTGGTGTCTAGCACATCCCTTTCCATTGTATGGGCTGTAAGTGGCCACAGGTGTCCTGTCCACAGGTGAATCTAGCAGATGCTCCACCTGAAAGGTTCCTTCAAGGAGGGATTTGAGGTGCCTCTGCTGCACTAAATTAAATGTCTGCTGCTCTGGGCAGGGAGGGGGAAGGGTCTCAAAGGGTCTTAACCAGACATTGTTGTCTCTGAAATATGCTTAAGTTACATTTCATTGCCTCACTATACATGGTGTCAACCCCTCAAGTAAGTCCTTTTGTTTTACAAGCGACTGCTCCCCCACTCTGATCACATGTCCAGCCAATGCCAGAGCCACAGTTGACATCAGCTCCTGATCCGCAGCTGTTCCTAAGTGTTCCACCATGCCCACTCACCCCATCACCCTGTCACCCTCAGCCTGCATGAGCTTCCTCCTGCCTCGTGGCAAGCTGTGGACAGGATCTGGAGGCTGGCACTCCCCCCAGCTGCTCTCCCTTATCCTCCCAGCCTTCCCCATCTGGACAGAGTTCCCTCCTCTCATGTTTCAGATTTCAGATCCCTAGGAGCAGGGGGAAGAATGCCAAACTACAAAAAACGGGAGGAGGGGGGGATATCCAGATTTCGTTAGTTTTCCAGGTGACAACAAATGGGTGCTTTGTCAGGAAGTAGGTTGCACTGTGTCGAGTGATGTGAAATATTCCCTTTTGTAGAGCCTGTTTTTTCCCTTTTATCAATTCCTGGTAGGTAGGTCATTTCTAAACTTTTACTTCATGAGTTAATGCATAGAAATTTAAGTACTGTAGTTTTTGGAGACTAAGGGAGAGAGAGAGAGAGAGAGAGAGAGAGAGAGTGTGTGTGTGTGTGTGTGTGTGTGTGTTTACCTCAAAAATAATCCTTGGCAGGTTGCTGACATGAACTTTTCCTCTGCTTTTGTGTTTCAGCACAAGTGGGTGTAGGCATAGTATTGTCTGCTACCTTATGGTTTTTCATTTACTTGTGGCAGAGTACAGCTTGCTTCCTCCCCATCCCCCGGTTCTCAGGATATACTGGAAAACACTCTTCCAAGAGATGACATCTGCTCTTCAGTTAGAGCAAGAGAAACCAGTGGGCCCTCCTTATCCAAGGGAATTGGTTCCAGGACACCAGAATCTGCAGGTGCTCAGTCCCTGGTGGTGAACGGCATGCTATTTGCATATAACCTACACCCATTCTCCCTGTGCTCTACAACCTCTGGGTTGTAATACCTAATGCGCACTGTAAATGCTACAGGAGTGGCTGTTATTCCATACCGTTTAGAGAACGCAGACAGTTCAGCACAGACACAGGTTAGTTGGTTGGATTTTTCAGGTATTTTTAATTAGCAGCTGGCTGAACCCATGTGTCCAGGATGACTCCCAAGTGCTAATGCCTGACCTTTGATGGTTCCTTCTAGAAAGATTGTCATACCCAGGAATATCACTCCCTTTTCTTGACCACACCTATATCCTCTGCCTTCCACCTCTACTAGGCCTAAAATGGTTTTTTTGATTCCCTATGGGCTTCCTGTTAGAAAAATGTAACTGCTCTCTAGTTCTAAGGCTGCCCTGAACCCAGGCTTCAGGCTTGACCTAAGAGTTTTTGCCTCCTACTCGCAGATGCGTTTCTCAGAGGCAGTGGGCACTACGGCTCTCTGGGAACCCTTAGTGCTTCCTGCCACTGCTGGGACCTCTTCTGTCCCCACTCGCTAATAGTGCTAAAAGTAGCATTTTTGTGGTATTTGTTTTGTTTTGTTTTCTGATGTTCCCTCTCATCATCAATAGCCAAGATGTTCATTTTCTCAACATCTTCTGCTTTATGGGAACTCCCCCCCCCAAAAAAAAAATAACAGCATTGCCAGTTCTGCTTTTTCTCAACCAGAACTGCACATTTAATAACTTTAAAGCAGTGAACAAGAAGTGTGTTTTCCTGAATTACCCTGTTTTTCAGGCTGGACTGATCCATTTATTCTTTTGTCCTACAATATACAACCTCAAAAACAAAGCTGAAAGCATTGGAGGGAGTATACTTCTGCTGATGTTTATGGTAAGCCTCCCAAAAACTTTAGAAAGAATATATGACTGTGGCCACTGTACCCTGTTCTAGGAAGGGTGTTGGCAATGGACTGTGTCAGGGACATCCCAGGAGAAGGTGCACATACAAGAAAGCAGCATGTCTGGTCTTAGTATAATTGCACAGCTCCTTGGTCCAGAGTTCAGAAACTGACCAGAATATTTGTTTCCAAGCTGTCCCCAGGACTCCAGGCAGACTGGGACCAATATTCTACCTTTTCCACTCACCTTCCCATTTGGTTGATACCAGAATGACTTATAAAGTGGGTTTGAGATATGTGTTGTTTTAACAATTCAGGAATTTCAGTGCTGGACAGAACTAATTTCCTGAGGTGGTATTGACCTTGGGTTAGAAAGTAAATGGCCAGGCCAAAGTAACCACATTCCGAATTGAGATGGGCAGGTGAGGGGTGTGGGTGGGGAGGCTGCCAGGAAGAAGGGAGGGTCATCGTGGGAAGGGATGAGGTTGGTGTGATCACTATGGTTTAATAGCTTGGACATTCCAGGGGCAGAATGCCAGGGAAGGGGACAGGGTCACATGGGCCTGCTCACCATGTTTCTCAACCTCTGCCCTTGGTACCAGCTTCCATTCCAGGCTGCCCACAAGCTTTCAACCCAACTCATTCCTTGCCTTCTGCTGTCTGTCTGCTCCAGTCAACCCATGTCACAGCAGGTTACATGCTGTTGCCTAGAAATGCCTGCGTTGTATGGTAAGTGGCTTCTTGAAGTACTACTGCAGACCTGTCCAATCCCTGTGGTTGTAATGAGGCTGCTGATCCCATAAACGTTACTTGGAAGCCTTCTTGACTCCTGGATAAAATTATTTTCTCTGTGTGTAAATCCTTTTCACCACTAACCACTCAACCACAGCCCAGTCTACATCATCGCCAGGGGAGGAATACACAACTTCAGTCAGTCCTTGTTTCTCTCCCCATGAGCCCGTGAATCTCATAATTCAAACTACACAGAGCCAAGAGGCCTGTTTGCTGGCTGGCCCCAAAGTCCAGGTGACCCAATCCTGTAGCAAGTGCGGTGACAAAATCCTGGGCTGTCCATGGCCAAATCCCACCTCTTTCTTGTCTACCACAGGGGGGAAAAACTGCACACATGAACAGAGCGTAGAATTCTCGGAAGACTGAAGCAGTGCCACCCCCAGATTGTCACAGTGTGCTCTTTTTCCCCCTCCCCTTCTGTAGTTGCTTTGGAATAGGTCTGTCATCTTGAATCCAGAGGAGTGCAAGTCAAGAATCACTCTACCGAAATAACCTCCACTGGCCCAGTGGAATTGCCTTTGAGGACAAGGTCTTAGGAAGCCTTTCCTGCACTCCCTGGTGTGTCTGGACCAAGCCTCTAGCCAGCATGAGCAAGGAGTCTCCCAGTCACTGCTCGGGATTTGTTTTACCTTGATGAGAGCTTGAATTTCATGTCTCTTCCCTCAGTTGCTTGAGTTAAGGTCTTTGAGGGTTGGAACCCAGTCCGATCGATCATTGGCCCTCCACAGCTCATCTTAGATTAAATTGACTAGATTCTTTCTAGACAAGTACTACATGCCAAGATCTCCAGTAGTAGGAATAACTATGAACATTTTTTTTTTAAGATTTATTTATGAAAGAGATACAGAAGAAGAGATTTACAGAATTCAGGATTTGAGTATCTTGTATTCAAAAAGTTTGTGGAAAACAGAATGAAATGATGATTTAGGGACCAGGTTTTTTTTTTTCAAATCCATGCTTTTGAAGACTCTAAAAAGTTCATGGAAAAATGTTCATTATGAAAGAACTATGTGTAGATTTCCCAGTTTTGGAATATGAAAGTATTCTTTGAATTCTGCAGTTTCATGAGCATTCTGTAAATTAGCTTGTGTAATTATATGGTTATAGTATAAATTATAAAAGTTTGTGCAATTTTATGATTCTAAGGAATTCTGAAAGATTTCATGAAGTCCAATTCTGAAAAAGCTTTCACACTCTGAAAGATGAGGTTCCAAGAATAGCAAAGACAGATTACAATACAGGATGCTTCCCAGAGTTCTGAGCTCTAGGGGTGTGCCAAGCCCCTCCCAGGACTGCTTGGTTCTTGGGTAGGGGGCTTCAGCTGCCACGTGTGCCAGAAGAAACACAGATTACACTGGGAGATGGTGGAGGCGCCAGCCACTCGGCACAGACCCCGTGGGAGGCCAGCCCAACAGGATGCAATCAACTCTTGTTTCTTTACCGTGTGAAAATCACTGATTTCCTCCCCCTTGCAAGCACTGTGGCTATTTTTACCAGCAATGGAGACCACAAGCAGTGGAGAGGCTAGAATTTTGCTGAAGTCATAATTCTCAGGCCTCCACATCCAGATTTCTATGTGGAGTCCGGCTGGATTCAAACCCCGTCCAGGAAGTTGTCCCCACCACCATCACCGCACAGCAGTGTGACTGTGGCCTGCTGGGCCCATCTTCCTGACCTTGGTGAACAGCATTCAGTAGCAGTATTTCCCTCCTAGGTGTACAGTGGGCACTCAATGAGGAAGTTGATCTAAAGCACCTGCAATGGAGCCAGGAAGACAGCAAAGTGAAGGTTAACAGAGATCTTCATAGAAGCTGCATTTAGTGGATTCAGCAAACTAGCAGTGGTGATAATTTTTGATTAAACATTTATACTCTTAGAGATTTACAAAGATACATCCTCAACAGTTCATAAATCTCTACATCCATAAACCTTTAATCAAAGATTATCATCAAAAGAACAGTAGCTCCCTTTAGCTTAAATCCTGTCTGAGTCTCATCAGACTTAGATTTCCATTCATCTGAGATTTTCTGAATCCTGTAATCATAGCATTTAATCCTCACCATTTAAGACTCAAAAGTACAGTGTTGTTTAAGTCAAATATTCCTTGTATAACTTGGTTGACACATCCATTATTATAAAGGGAGTCACGAAGTATATGCTATAGTGTTGCTGGACTTGGAAATGTGCCATGTGTTTCATTTATTGTACCAATTTGCTTTTACTTCTCACCTTTCATTATTTTCTCATGAATCAGTAATTTAGTATTTATAGCCTAAGGTGCTACCATTAGAGTGGGAAGCAAGGGCACTTGGCATCCAATAGCATCACATCAGCTCTCTCTCCTGTTCAGGGAAGTTGACTCTAATGATTTTGGACATTTTCAGTGCTCAGCAAACCAGTGCAATCACTAAACTAACAGCCAGTTCCTTCACCGCTCATCTTTCTGCGCTCACTGGTCGGGACTTACGAGCTGGTCTCTGCCCAGAGAATTAACTACTTTATCATCGATTTGCCTTTTATCTCGGTGCTCTGAACTTGCCCCAGGTTTTTGCTTTTAGCTTTTGTCCTACTTTTCACTTGTCACCGAACAAGCTCAGCATTCATTCAACTACACACTGTTCGGATTCTTGCATAATATACTAGTTTGGAACACAGTGGTCTTTTTGTGTGGAGGGAGAAGCTAAAGAATGTTCTGAGTTTTGTGGCCACCAAAAATTCGAATATTGCCTGGTTTTGTGTAACGTCTTGCCATGCACTTTAACAAGTATTTTAAATATGTGAGCTGTTATTGACACAAGGCATGAGGGAAGAAGTGTTGACTAAAATGATGAGTATGGTATTTGGAAAATGTGGTCCCAAAGTACACTCAGCTGTATGTCAACATGTGTTGTGCCTTAAACAGTTCAGCAGCTGATGCGGACTGCTTCTCGACTCACCCTTGTCCACTAGCATGATGGTAGGAGACACCCAGTTCATCAAGTTTTGGCTGACCTTCAGTGAGCGGTCATTCAAATAGTTTTTAAACCCAGTAGATACTTATTTCAAGACTGGAAGAGTCTCCACATGCAGCTGCACGGGCCCAGGTATGCAATTCATGTTCACAACGGAGCATTGTCTCAAGACCTTTGCCTTCCATCGTCCACAAGCCCCTCTCCTGTCTCGTGCCCGTGCCAGAGATTCCTGGGCACCAGCTCAGCAGGGAATTTATTTACAGCTGCAATATGTCTGTAAATTATGATCTGTAAACCTTGGGTCAGACAAAAGCCACTGGTCTGCAATGGAAGTCACTGAGCCAAGGACCATATTCAGCAAACTGCCAGGCATGATTAAACTTGCTACAAAACCAAAAAGGGAACATCTGGGAAATGGGCCAAGACCCTGAGTGTCATTGTATGACGTTCAGGCCAACTCCAGTTTCAAAATTCTTCGGAGATTGCTGCTTCATGATCGGAATGCATTCCTCAGTGCTTGGCCAAAGACCTTCACACAAGAAGTACACTGCGGAATTGTTCCTGCACATTGCTAGCTTTGTGCAGTAGGAAAACTTAACCTTTTGTCTAAAAGTGGGCTTTGAATTTGCTTAAATCTGCTTCTCAGGCTTTACTAAATGATACACTTGAAACTGGATTTGGCCTTTCTTTCAAATCTCGTCTTGGAGTAATAGCCTATCCCATCTGACCTGCCTGTTTCCCAAGGTTGCTGTGAAGAATTAATAAGTAACATTTTAATTAAGACAGCACTGTTGTTAAAAACTTAAGGAAGATCTAACTGAAAGGCTAGGAAAAGAAATGGTAAAACTTCAATGAAAAGTTTTTTAACAAATGAGTAATTGTTTCCCCTAGATAATCTGTTCATGTGATGTGATTTCAATAAAATGTATAGAATTAAAGTCAGGTAAGCTGTTTCTCAAATTCTGATAAAAATGAAGAATGTTCATTTAATTTGTAGGGGAGAAATAAAAACAGGATGGTTAGCCATGCCATAGAGTATAAGAATATAATGTTCATGTGATTAAAAAAAAAAATGTGGTAGTGAAGCTACAGGAGACCAGTGGGAAGGACCAGAGAGACCAGGGACATATTAAATGCATAGATGATTTAGTATATACCATCACCTTAGAATCAATTTCATGAGAAGAATCTAAAACGTTCAGTGGAAGTCTGCTTTCTACCCATGAGAGTGACAAACTTGAAAAGCTTAGTAACATACTCGGCTGGTGGGAGTGCCAAGGAAGGATGATTCTGCCCTTAGTGGAAACATGAATGAGATAAAACCCTGTGGAGGGCAGTACAATATCTGCCCAAATTGTAAATGTTCCTGCCCTGCAGCGCAGCAAATCTGTATGAACTCATCCTCCAAACATCCTTGCCCATGCAGAATGACCTCCACATACTGTGAATCATTGCGGAGTCGTTGGTGACAGCAATAGATTATGAAACACTGCAAATGCCTATTGATCGAGATTTGTAAAGTAAATGACATCATCTAATAAAGTGGGATGATACACAGCTTAATGATCTTTTAAAAAATGAAAGTTAAGGTAGTCCTATATATACAGATAAGAAACAGTCCCCAAGCTACATGATTAGTATACTGTGGAATTGTTTTCGCACATTGCAAGCTTCGTGCAATAGGAAAACTTAACCTTTCGCCTGAAAGTGGGTTATAGTCCAACACACAGTGTGTACAGAATAGAGCTGAGTTTCTAGACTGTATACCACAGGGACGGGGGAGGAGTAGTAACTCTGAGAAAAATGAGATGAATTTTCCAAGTGCCAAAGTGACTATGACATGCCTAAATCACCCAAGTTTCCCTGAGGAGGGATGTTAAGAATTGGAACTAAAACTAATTTCCTTTAAATTTCAAAGGAAAAGCTAACGTAGAAGCAATTGGGGCTGTGCTTTTCCTGCACTGGGAGATAGTACAGTAAGTGATACATCCCTATATCAATAGCACTGCTTACCAGTGTTAAGGGGAGTGTTTGGCATGACCCACCCCTGTGAAAGTTCACTTGTAGAGGGCTAAGAATCCCCAGGTCCCTCTACTTGGTCTGGAAATTAGACTTCTTACTATTGCTAATCTCTCCTGAGATTTTTTTTGAATGTCTGTTTTCTCTTAAGAACTTACTATTTACTCATAAAAATCCTCCCATGGTTTTGTCTGGTGCTTTAAAATTCATTTGAGTGACAAAGATAAAGTTTTCATCCAGTGGTGCACTACCCAGATGCATGCAACAGCTGGGGCTGGGGAGGCAGAAACTCAATCCAGGTCCCCACAGTGGGTGGAAGAACTCAATGATTTGAGCCATCATCTCTGCCTGGGGAGAGGCAGGAGTGAGTTCCAGGAATCCAGATGGGGGCCACAGGCTACCTAACCAGTGTCTCAATCACTAGGTTAACTACTCCCCAGGTCTACTATCTTCTTGAGTTAGTTTGATTAAATTTAAATTTTTGTTGGTCTAAAATTTTCCTGCTATATGAGGTAGGAAAATTCAACTTTTTTAAAGATTGTCACTCATTTAATTGCCCAGCCATTTTTTATTGAATAGTTTTGTTTGTTTTTTTGTTTTTTTGTTTTTTTTTGCCTAAAAGTAAGATAAATATCTCATTATAAAGGTGACATGAATTTTTATACCAAGCTGAGGGGAGCCAGCCCTATTCCTGGAGACAGAAAATTGGCACCAAGATCAATTACATAAGCTGACTTCAATAAAATAATTGCTTTCTCCCATCATTTCCCCCATATATTTCCTAGTCATTTTCCCACAGTGTATTACCCTGCACACACCCTGTACACAGTGTACCAGATGTCCTGTCCTTTGTTCACAACTTACCACCTTTTGTTAAAATGGTATTAGCTTCCAAGTCTAGCTGCTGCCTTGATTGTTTACTTGTCTTTTATGAAAATCCCAGGCATTAAAAGCTGTTGCCATCAAATGTGTATGCCTGTCCACCCATTAATCTCTTAGTTAACAGATTAGTTATTTAGTTAACAGATTACTAGTTAACAGATTAGTTCACTTCATAGCCAGTTTAATGACAGATTAACCCAGCTACTGGGTTGGAGAGTAAAGGAAAACACTCATTCCTCCCCTATATTCATAAGTGCTGTTGGTCTGTGCTTTGTTACCTTTGTTAAGTTTGAATAGGAATCATAGTCTAGTTTGATCATGGGAGTGTGGGAACTTTTCTTCTTTTATGCACGCCCAGCACATTTAGTTTCATCTGTTACTTAACAGGTGGCAGGATTTCCCAGTAAGATCATCTTTAACAGTACTTGTTTGGTTTGGGTAGGGAGCTTGACCATTTCTTATACGTCTTTTATAGTCATTACCATGTTCTGATTTTATCCTCTGAGGCCAACATTGATAATTAATATTTTCTAGAAATTTGTCACTTTTGTTCATTTGAAAAAAGATGCACTTACACAGAGATAAAATGTGCTGATGTCTGGTTATTGATCCATTTTTTATGATCTCTGCTTTCTCCGCTTAAACACTGTTATCATCAGTTTTATTGTTTTCAGTTCTGTCTCCTTTGTGTCTCTCCATCTAAGAGTTACTTACTTTGCATTTGATCCTTAACATGTGACATTTTTCATTTCCATGTAGTTGATCTGATGTCATGATTTCTTTCAAGAGCTGTTCCTTTAATTGTGAAACCATTACTCTAACTGCTCAGGAGCAGCAGAAAATAAAGACCATGTGAGGCATACTCCTTATATTTCTTCATTCATTCAGTAATTATGCATAACTTTGACTTTCTAGCTACTGTGTGATGGATGCTGCATGCGCTGATCTACAAAGGCTTAAGACCCTTAGTCTTGTAGCAGCCTGACAAACAGCCAACTCCCTACCACATAGAAAGGATGGTGAACGAATGCTCAAGTCCAAGGTGAGCTTCAAGCAGATCATGATGTTAGGATGAAGGAAAAGTGTTACTTTTAAAATGAACTTAAAGTAACTGCAACACTGTGATGGCCAGAAATATTTTTCAATGTCTTTCGCCACCCCACCCCTGAGGAAAATAGTTTATTTGTAGCAGAATGACAAATCACATCTCCTTATTTCTGCTGTTGCAACTTTCATGTATATTATTTGATACATAAAATTGTAGCTGACAAGGGCATCAGGTAATTTCTTATGAGTATCCATTGTCTCATGTTCAAATCAAGGTAGACATATCCACTCAAAATTTTTTCATATCTTTCTCATGGAAACATGAGTACTCCTTCCTTCTGTATTTTTAAAAATATACAGTACATTGTTGTTATCATCTGTGGTTGCCCCATGTGCCACAAAATGCCAGGATTCTCTCTTCCATCTCACCATAGTTTTGAGCCCGTTAACCCTCTTCTGTCCCTCTCTCTCCACAGTCTTTTCTTTAGATACCATTCTCATACTGTCAGAGCCAACTTTTTAAGATTCCAAACATAAGGGAGATCATGTGGTCTTTGGTTTTCTGTTGACTAGCTTAGTTTCTTAAGGTAATGACCTTCAAGTTCATTCGCATTGTCACAAAGGATAGGATTCTGTCCTTTATGTGGCTGAGCAGTGTTCCATAGTGCACATGCACCGCGTTTCCTTTATCTGGCTGTAAGTGGGTGGAGACTTAGGTTGTTTTCTTAGCTGATGGCACTAGTGCTGCAACAGATGCATGTTCGTCTTTCTGATCTCACTGCCCTCAGGTGTAGGGTCAGCAGGATTTCTAGTTCCTGTGGCAGTGCTTGTTTGAACTTTCTGATGAACAGTGTGGAGATACTGTGTCGTGTAATGATGGAGCAGTTTGCGTTCCCTCTGGCTGCGTGCAAGAACACATTTACCTCTAGATTCTCTGCTGCGGTGCAGCTTGCTCCTCTACCCTTGTTCAGATACAGAGATGTGTCACAAGTCAGGCCAGGGAGAAATGAGACCAGCTTGACCCAGATCACGTGCCGTCACTGTAGAAGCAAGGAACAAAAGTGAGGCTTGTTAATATGTGTGCTCAGTGGTTTGTAGGGTTCCCTGCAGTAATAGTACTTGTGCCAGCCCTCGTCCGCCTGAATGAAGCCCTTGTATGGCTATCTCGGTCCTGCCAGCACTGAATCCCAAGATTGTGTTTCACAGCAAGGCGCCTGGTCCTTTGTGCCTTGCCCAAGCAGGGTGAAGAGTGGGAGGCTTCCGTTTCCCGATAGTTGCTCTCAGTACTGGGGGCAATGGATCTGGGTGTTGTGTTCACGTGTGCACCCCAGGGAGAAGGCTGAACACCTTCAGAGAGGTCTCCTCCTCCGGAAGGCAAGGGCTTCCTGGATCATTTCAGCTCTCACTCCGTTTTCCAGCTTCCACACTGAAGTTGAAAATGATGTGCTGGCCATCTGCTTATGTTTGAGTTTACTATGTCTTACTAAAAACAGTTCATTCTCAACGAATGAACTGATGATGGAAGTTCCTTCGTGGACCATGAAGTTGTGTGAATAGAAAGTGTGGCGCGTTACTCTCACTCGTTGGAACGCACGAGGAGTCAGAAGGCATGGTGATTTCTTTTGGTGCTCAGAGATGGCAGTGTGGGTAAGGACGTGATGTCAGTTTAGACTTTGTATTTCTTCTCTGATGGACCAGGTGGGTTATCTAGAGTCTGCACGGATTTACAAACCCGCCCTCTGTGTTGCCCTCAGGAGTTTGCATGCTGAAGGCTTGCCCCCCAAGGTGGTGGCATTGAGTTGGGATCACCTGAGAATAGCATCTGCACCCCTGGCACGGAGAGCCCTGAGAAGAAGGGTGTGCCCGCCCACTGCAGCCCACGAAGCTGTTCCTTTAAGCCTTTTTGTGTTTGATTTTGCAAAGATGTATTTACTTTTACTAGAAAGGCAAATATACAGTGAGAAAAATCCGTGTGCTGGTTGACTTCGCAAGTGGCCACAACAGCCAGAGCTAAGCTGATTTGAAGCCAGGAGCTTCTTCTGGATCTTCCTTGCAGGTGCAGGGTTCCAAGGCTTTGGGCCATCCTTTACTGTTTTCCCAGGCAACAGGCTGATTGGAAGTGGAGCAGCCAGGATCTAAACCAGCACTCACTTGGGATCATGGCACATGCAAGGAGAGGATTTAGCCACTAGGCTACTACACCGGACCCATTTAGGGATTTTCCACTGGGTCTAGGAATTAGTGCCAGCCAATACTCATCTCTTTTCCTAGCCCACTGGAAGATCCCACCTCTTGGCTCTCTCTCTCCCTTGAGATACCCACACAGGGTTCATGTGAGATACTGTTTTACTTTTTTTTTTTTTTAAAGATTTATTTTTATTATTTTTTCATTGGAAAGGCGGATGTACAGAGAGGAGAGACAGAGAGGAAGATCTTCCGTCCGATGATTCACTCCCCAAGTGAGCGCAACGGGCCGATGCTATGCCGATCCGAAGCCAGGAGCCTCTTGTGGGTCTCCCACGCGGGTGCAGGTTCCCAAAGCTTTGGGCCGTCCTCGACTGCTTTCCCAGGCCACAAGCAGGGAGCTGGAAGGGAAGCGGGGCTGCCGGGATTAGAACCGGCGCCCATATGGGATCCCGGGCGTGCAAAGCGAGGACCTTTAACCACTTGCGCCACCGCGCCGGGCCCGAGATACTGTTTTACTTTTAAGGACATTTTGCATCTGTGTTTGTGTCATTACATTTATAGAAAATTATCTCAGTGATGACAGAAATTGCTTAGAATGTCTTCCTTCCAGTTTTCCTTTTTTTAAAAAAATTTTTATTTATTTATTTATTTATTAGAAAGGCAGATATACAGAGGAGAAGAGACAGAGAGGAAGATCTTCCGTCCGATGATTCACTCCTCAAGTGAGCGCAATGGCCGATGCTATGCTGATCCGGAGCCAGGAACTACTTCCGGATATCACACACAGGTGCAGGGTCCCAAGGCTTTGGGCCATCCTCGACTGCTTTCCCAGGCCACAAGCAGGGAACTGGATGGGAAGTGGAGCTGCCGGGATTAGAACTGGTGCCCATATGGGATCCTGGCATGTTCAAGGTGAGGACTTTAGCCACTAGGCCACCCTGCCGGGCCCCTTCCAGCTTTCCTAAGCGAAGTTTGTCCAGCTCCTCTTTAAACACTCTGCACCTTTTCACGTTCCTTAATTACCCCTGGTCTACACTGAGGTCCTGTGTAACGGGAGATAAGAGCAAGCTGAGAAGTCCATCCAGCCCATTATATTCCTCCTCTGATAAACGGCTGGCCCCTGCTGTTTCCCTTTGTCCTTTGTCCAGCTTGTAGGATACTTGCCTGATAATCAGTAATATCCCTTAGGGGAAAAGGCAGTGTCGCAGGTCATTTGTCATTACTGTAAAGAAATACCAGAAGCTGGTTGCTATATGAAGAAAAGGGGTTTAACTCAGTTTTGAATAGTCCAAAGCAAGGCAGCCCTCCTGTCGGCTCTGGGTCCGCTAATGAGTCCCAGCAGGTGGCGTGATGGCCGGCTTGCAAGTAAGCAGGAGCAGCATGGAAGGCAGAGAACGGGGAGGGCCGGTCTCGCGGGTCTCCCACGGAAACTAAGCGAGGTCCTGTGAGAACTAAATCTCTTCTAAGGCGATGCCTCCAGTGACCAACTCTGGTGGGTCCCAACTCACACCACCAACCTGGGGCTGAAGCCCTCAACATGTACACTCCTGAGGGCAGACCACAGAGGGCGAGTTTGTAAACCTGGTGGGAAAAGGGGATTAGAGGAATCTCTTTTTGTCTGTATCCAGCAACCTTGGCCCTCTTGTTCTCTAGGCTGAACAGTGAACAATAGCAATTGTTGGGAGAATAGCCTGCAATGAGGCAGCAAGTACAGGCTTGCTGGCAGGAGGAACGTCAACAGGAGTTAGGAATCTGAGATACCCAGGTTGTGCCAACAGCCAGGCTGACTCTCAAGTAATGCCTGGAACCACTGCAAAGGGTGATGTTTCCTCACGCCAGTGCACAGCTCCAAGCAGAGCTTCAAGTTCGGCAGCTTGAGCTGCGATGGGCACAGGGTATGCCTCACGTGAGCAAAATCGTCACAAGGGAAACAAAGCGTACAGCATGCATCCGCCCCCTCAGACAGACGCAGCGAGTGGCCAGCTTTTCAGCATTACGGTGATGGAAGATGATGCCAGTGGGAAGGCTTGGCAGGGTGATCTGTCGCCAAGAGAGGTGCTGTGTGATGAATGGAAGAGAGCAGACCCGGTACAAGAAGGAGGTGGGGAGAGGAGTCTGATGCTAAGACTGCTACCTTTGTCAACAAGGCAGCCCGGTGGCTAGTACACACAGCTGTAGTAGCAGGGTGTGACTGACATGAGACACGCACTGCCCGGCATAACTGAGAGGCGAAAGGGCATCTCACATTCCTCGAATGATCCCATCATTTTCATAGCAATATGGGTGAACGGGCTTTAGCATAATTAGGTAAGCCAAGCACATGGGGCATGAGCAAGACTAACTGGAAGGCTTTAAAGGAGGATAGAGCCTCTGCAGGCCTGTGGGAGGAGGTCCAAGTGTAGCAAGAACAGTAAAATTAAGTACCCATTAGTGGCAGCAACTAGCTGGGCCTAGAAATTTAGGCAGGTGTTTTCACTTTAGGTAGAGGGCTGGGCAATATTGACGTAGGCATCCTGGGAGAGCTGACTGCATGAGACCATGTCTGACCTAAACAACTAACAGGTGCTTACACCTATTTAAATTTAGATGGGCGGGCTTTCTTCAGCTGGTGTCGAAGTGAGCAAACAACTCCCCTTGGGTAGGAAGTAAAGATTGGGAGCACACAGAGTGGAGCCGTGGGGAGAGGCCCCGAGCCGAACTGGCTCTGAGCCTTTTGACAAAGCTGCAGGGGGTTGACAGGGTCCCCAAGGCAAAGTGAGTCCACAAGAGCAGGCTCCCTCTACATGTCCCTGCAGAGAGATGTGGGTCGGAGTGCAAGGGAAGCAGAAGAGATGGCTACGTTGGATTCCT